AGGATCTAGTGATGCCATCCATCAAAGAGGAGCTTCCTGCAAATCTCAGCAGGGTTCAGAATAGCTGTGAATGCCTTCAGCTGTACACACAGATATTGGAGGGAAGAGGCAGCCAGATACTATGGCATCTAAGACAGAAGGCAGGGGAAGAGGGCAGGGTGACCTGACCTCCTCTATTTGGTTTTGGGCCCATTGCCCACACTGACCTCACCAGGCAGCTTGGCAGGGTGGAGAGGAAAAGGGTACAGCATTCACTCATAGGGAGCTCAGCTCCAGGTGCAACCTGAGGCTGCTTCTACCCATTTCCACTGTTGTTATAGAGAAGGAAAAGAATGCGTGGCCTGGACCATAAACAGGCCTTAAGCCCACAGCATTTTCTCCCTGAAACTCAGATTAAGGACATGAAGGGCTTCCACCAATGTTATTCTATGTGGGTCTTGATCCCCTCATTTCTGCCTTTGCCTCCACTCAGATCCCTTAAACCAGGATGAAGGAGGGCAGCTTCACTATCCAAATATTTCAGGCACAGGACCTCTTCTAATGACTAAGGGAAACCTCAAAAGCCACCTAAGTAACCTGGGAACCTAGGTCCCATTTTCCAGGTGACTTAGGCACTCACACACCTATGTCATGTTGACCAAGATGCTTCTGAAAATGGAACATTGGCAACAAAGTCACTCAGGCATTTTGGAAAACATTACCCTAAGACTCATACAACCAACAACCCTAAGACTCATACATGCTTGGTGGGGGGGATGTATTTATATCCTTAGGCAAATCCTGGCTCTTGTGTCCGCAGGTGTGTGCCTTGGTGACGTAGGGCACCAGACGACCTGGGTTCTCCAAGCGCCAGCACACATGGGAAATGGAGGTGGTTACAGACAGATCAGGGATCTGCCTTGGTGTGGACACTGATGTCCTGAGCAATCTCAGAGGAGAGGCATCATTGCCACCCCCTGGCTTGACTCAAGACTCAAAACAGCACAAGCACTTATGTTCTCCTGTTTGGGGTATTTTCCACTCTCCTAGCCCCAGTTGCCTGCAGAAGAGTTTGGAGTAAACAGGATTTGTCCAGGATACAGATAGTCTTGTTTCATCCCAGATAAGATCTATTCAGACTGCACCGAACCACCCTCCTCATTTTAAAGGACCAGAAATTCACACGAGTTGTGAACTGAAGGTTAAGAAAACTTCATAACATTTCTCACCACAAATAAGACACACCAATCATGTTACCAGTAACATATTATAAGGATTAAATACAGAAAGGAGGAGCAAAGGAAACATGAACCCCCCCACAGTAGTATGTTCACATTAGAAACAGCACTGGAGCAGACTCACGCTACATCTTCCCTTCCTTCCTATCTGGGCGGGATTGCAGTGGTGGCTGGAGTGAAGGTTACACCCATGTTTCCATTCAAATCTGCTTTCCCCTGGTGGTTACCTGCTAGCTCTACAGCCATTTGGGTTGGCATCAGCAGGTCCAGGGGCAAACAACCCAGGCAACTGCCCAGGGGAGGCCCCCCTTGCCTAAGTTAGGGCACATCTACATAGATGTTAGGGCTGGAAGGGACCTTGCGAGATAGTTGGGTGCAGCCCCCTGTCCAAAGGGGCAGGCAGACAGCTGGGGTCAGATCACCCAAAAGCGTTCGTTCGCTGGCAGTCCCTTGAAGTCAAGGATGACATCCGTCAGGCTTGATGGGTCCTCAGGTGACTGAGGAGACTGATTCTGGATGCACATATACTTCGGCAATGGGGGCATGTTGTTGCGTGGGGGAGTGGGATCCGCAGCCCCAGGGTGGTCTCCTTCTCCTTCCTCCGCCACCGCCGTTCCGCCTCAGTATCAAGTCATTGGGCTTCGAAGTGGCGCGCGCCTTGGCGGACCAAGTGGTGCCACACCAAATGGTCAGCATCTTGCTCCTTCCAGCCACTGGCGTCGATGCCTCTGTGCTTGAGGGCAACCTTGAGCGTGTCTTTACACCGTTCCCTTTGGCTGCCCTTTGAGCGTTGGCCAATGGAGAGCTGGGAAGGGAGGCGGTTCTCGGACATCCAGACGCAGTGGCCCATCCATAGGAGTTGATTTTTAAAGAGCAAGACTTTGATGCTGGTGGATGCTCGCGCTCATCTGGCGGTCCTCCTATTTGATCCCCAGGACTCGATGCAAGCACCACTGGTGAAAGCTCTCGAGGGTCTTAACGTGGCGTCGGTAGACGGTCCAGGTTTCACTGCAGTCGAGGGAGGTGGTCGGCATGACAGCCGTGTCAACCAGGACCGTCGTCGACTTCTGAAGGTCTCTATTTCCGAAGACGCATTGTCGCAGGTTGAAGGCGGCGGCACTGGCGCGGTGCTGGACCTCTTCATCGCTGGTAGCCCGTTGAGAGAGGTGGCTGCCGAGATACGGAAAGCGCTCCACGTACTCCAGGGCAGCAGTGCAACATCCAGCGCACGAGTGGGATGTGGAGGGGTCCAGGCTTCAGAGTCCAAGGCCGGCTCTGGCTGAGGGGGTCCCGGGTTGGTTTCTTCCCAAAGAAGCGATGGCTCTTCCCAAGGCTCAGCTTCCTGCAGGCTGGAGAAATCCAGAGGGTTTCTGAGGGGGGAAATCCCTGAGAACACACAGACTGGCTTGCCCCCTAGCAGAGGGTGGGGATCAACGCTGTCCTGTGGAGATGCTCCCTTGTTTCGAAGGGAGGGGACTCGGGCAGGGCTCGTATCCATCCCCAGGCCAGGCCAAGCCTCTGCAAAGGTGAG